TAATCTGCCCACCTTGGCCTCCCAAAGTGCTGGGATTACAGGCGTGAGCCACCATGCCCAGCTGATCTGTCTCTTTAGTTCACAGGTCTTCAGATTGAGAGGAATAGTTTCCAGGAGCTGTATGCAAAGGACTTACCTGCACCTGGAACTAAATGTAGATGATGTATTACATTTTGCACAGATCTCAATCAAAGCTTGATGGGATGAGGCTCTAGGAGGCTTGGAGAGAGGTGTGTATTTTATACATGGAAGGGATATGAGTTGTTGTAGCCAGGGGGCAGACTACGGCTGCAGTAATCCCTCCCACATGCAGAATAGGTTCCCTCCTTTCTCCAAGACTCATGAAGTCCAACAGTACCTCCCATCCCATAAGCTCCCCTTATCATGTCACCCTATCCCTGTGCCTGTGGAATGGTGGAGTCTGTGACTCTTCTCCCTGAACCTGGTTGGGCTTTTGTAACTGCCTTGACCAACAGAATGAGGCTAAGGTGATGATATATGACTTCATATATCATTAATGGCTATATTTCACAAAATGTCATGTGCTTCTGCCTTGCTCTCTTTATTTGCTCATTCTTGAAAACCCCCATCTTATTGTTAGACTAAGCAGCCTGAGGAGAAGCCCACGAAGAGGAGAATCAAGGCCCTTAGACCACAGCCCTGGCTGAACTCCTGATAGTCAGCAACAGCTTGTTAGCCATGTGTATGAGCCATCTGTAAAGTAGAATCTTCAGCCTCCAGTTGAAATAGCCTACTGATGCCACATGAAGCAGAGATGAGCTTACACATATTTGAGCAAAAGAAATGATTCTTGACATTTTAAGGTACCAGGTTTTAGGGTACTTTGCTACACAGTGATAGTTGCTCAAAGCACACCCCTCAAGTGATCTCATTTGTTTCTGTGGTATTAACTACATGGATTCTCAAATCTGAATTTTCAGGTCACATATTTATTTGGAGCTCCCACCCGTATATCTAACTGTTAATTGGATGTATCCCTCCTTAAGCACAACACATGTGACATTAAGGTATTGTCCTTTACCACCACTGGTTCTTTCTCTATTATTTTGGTTATCTTACTTTCCATTCATTGATGGCAGACATCTGGGAAAACATTCTTAATTCCTACATCTTCCTGCATGTAATTTTACATCTGAAATCTCATTTGAAAGCTGACAGAGTGATATTTTAAAATGTGATCATGACTTCATGCAATTTGTAAATGGCTTCACTTTACTTACACAATAAAACCCCATTTTCTTGGCAGGATATTTGTGGCTTTCAATGATCTGGCCCCTTGCCAGATTTCTAGCCTTGCTGATTCTTCCTCCTTTTTGCTTTATAACACTGAATTACTAATAGTTCTCCGAATACACAAGGAAAAACAAACAGTCATTTTTACTCCTTCAGGGTATTCCCCTCATCTAGGTTTTTGGCAGAAATTGGTTGCTTGTGGTTGTAAGACCCAGGTTCCTGTTTTCTTGCTGGCTGTTGGACAGGGGTTGTTCTCATTTCCTACAGGCTAATCTCAAGCCCTTGCCACATGGCCCTCTCACAACATTGCAGCTTGCTCCTTCAAAGCCAGTGGGAGAATCTTACTTGAGTGTGCTACAACAGACTCCTATGTAATGTCACCTAACCAAAGGAATGGCTACCCACTGGTCCTACTGACACTCAGGGGAGGGGATTATACAAGATTTGTTCACTAGGGGGTAGGAATCTTGGGGGCCATCTTAGCATTTTGTCTACCTATGGTAGACAAAGTTCAGGGAACAGGACTACTTATGGTAGACAAAATAGCTTAAGAGTACTTAATAACTCAAGTTATTGAGTTCTCTCTCTCTCTCTCTCTATATATATATATCTCTATAGATATATCTATCTATCTACATATCTATACTTACCTATGGTAGACAGACTTCTAAGATAGCTCCCAAGATTCCTATGCCCTGGTGATAGGAATCACTTTGAGAGGCCAAGGTGGGTGGATTGACTGAGTCCAGGAGTTCGAGACCAGCCCGGGCAAAACCCCATCTCTACAAAATATATAAAAATTAGCTGGGCGTGGTGATACATGCCTGTAGTCCCAGCTACTTGGTGGAGGCTGAGGTGGGAGGATTGCTTGAGCCTGGGAGACAGAGGTTACAGTGAGCTGAGACCCTGTCACTGCACTCCAGCCTGGGTGAGAGAACGAGACTCTATCTAAAAAAAAAAAAAGGTTCAATTATTAGAAAGTTTGGGAGAACTTTTATCCACTCTATTGGTTATTGCTTTACTCTATTGGTGTCTGCTTTAATCCACTCTATTGGTTATTCAGTGGGCTCTTTCAATCTGACAACTCGTGTCCTTCAGTTGTGGGAAAATTTTGTGTTTATTTTAGTGATGATTTCTTCTATTTTCTCCCTTCTCTTTTTCTGTGACTTGCATTATTTAAATGTTAGACCTCTTGAACTAGTCCTTCAATTTTACTACCTTTTTTTTCTCTGTCTTCCATCTATTTCTGTTGTGCTTTCTGGAGATTTATTTAACTTTATTTTTCATTTCTTTATGGATCCAGTTTCTTCCCATCTCCTTGAGGTTGTCTATGGTGGTTTCTGAACCTTTCTTCTTCCCATATAGTCTGTATTTTCTCTATGTTATTTATTTTTCTATGTGTTCTAGTTTCTGTCTTTCATGTTGGAGGCTTTCCTCAGGTGTTTGTTAATCCTTGGATGTCTATTCACAATTTAGAATTTGAAACTAAAAGCTGATTGGAAATTCTAACATTGGTGGGATTTGGTGACTTTTAAATATGTATGTATACATATGTAACAGTGATGTGTTCACATCTTATTTCTTCATTAATCTTCTTTTTAAGTTTTTATTTAATTTTTTCTTTAAAAAAAAATAGAGACAGCGTCACGCTTTGTTGCCCAGGCTGGTCTTGAACTCCTGAGCTCAAGTGGTCTTCCGTCTTGGCCTCCCAGCGTGCTGGGATTACAGGCATGGGCCATTGTGCCTGACCTTTTCATTAATCTTCTTAGTTTCTTACTATCACAATGGAATGATGAGAAAACAGAACAAAAACATCAGTCTTTGCAAGTCTCTGACAAAGAGCAGAGACTTCAAGGCAGTTGGGGTTGGGGGAGACTTGAGAGATGTGGCCAAAATAGTACTGACCCTCTTTGGCTGACTGGGCCGAGGAGGGTTGGGAAGGTGGAATGGTGAGAAGGTGGCACCATTGTAAGCTGTATTTGCCATTTCTGCCCCATGACTGATATGTGTCTGATCTTCACAGACCATCCCATGGGATTTCCCAGTGCCTTCTGGCCACCTGGCCACATGACACCCCACCTCCCTGCCTAGTTCAAATGTCCTGGGAATGCCAAGCAGTGCTAAGATGGACTCTGAAGCCAGCTGTGCTGGGTGGCAGCAAGAGAGGAGAGTGGAGGAGGGGCAGAGGCAGGCAACACTGTTCCGGATTCTCACACATTCTCTGTGTGAGAATTCAAGGAGTGTGGTTGAGTCTTGTCTGGGAGACATCTATGGTGGAAGGTGGAGAAGGTGCAGGTAGCAGTGGCAGAAGTCCACGTCTCTTAGGCAGTAAGCAGACTGAAATGGTGAGCAAGGCCGAGCCTAGAGCTCCATAGAGTAATTGGGCCTGGCCTGCTTTTTGGCGAATCCCAATGTCAGTATCTTTAGGCTTTTGGGGGTTACTCAGTCCCCCAAAAAGGATACAAATTCCAATTGAGGACAAAGGCCTGGCTGCTGGCATTCTGGGAACTGAGTGGAAAGAGAGCTGCGGTGAGGCGAACGTCTCAACATTTGGTTACTTAATCTCCCTGATTTCAGCATGGTGTCCACACTGTCAGCTGTTCCTAGATTTCTGCGGGTGTGGGGAAGTGACAGTTGTTTAAGCTCATAGAGTTGGGGAGGGGAATCTAGGGATCTAACTACCTCTCAAAAGCTTTGACACATTCCTCCTTATTTTAGAGCCTTCCTGCCACTTCCCTTCCAATATTTCCTTTCCAGGTCCAGACATGCCTGACGCCGACAGTTCCTGAGCAATTTTAGGATCCTGTAGTTAAAACGCAGTTTTCCCTCTGATGACTTAGGGTTTTGCCTTGTAGGATCTCCTAAGTCAGTTATTATTCTGACTTCTAAAATTGTGCTACCATTTCTTCTCCTCCCTTCTTCACATACGTGTGTTTATCTCTTTTAAAAATCCCACTGCTGTAGTTTTCCTGGGAGTTCTGAAGGGAGTGAAATTAGATGTGTGTATTTAATTTGCTGCTTTAACTCAGATATTCCTCATTGTTTTGTAATATGTCATTATATGTTAAATTCTTATATGAAAAAGTTTATTCCTTAGTTGTCTGTTCTATTTCCCTTGAAATATTTATCAATTAGTTCCACACTGTTTTATTTATTGTTTTTGTTTGTTTGTAATATGTTTATTCTTTATGATTATAATTTTTGGTTTAACTTCTTATGAAATCTATTAGTTTTATAATGCCTAAACTTATAGAGGTCCAGACATGATGGCTCATGCCTGTAATCCCATCAGTTTGGAAGGCCAAGGCGGGAGGATCACTTGAGCCCAGGAGTTCAAGACCAGCCTGGGCAACATAGGGAGACCTTGTCTCTACAAAAAATTAAAAAAAAAAAACAAACAAAAACTAGGCACGGTGGTGTACATCTGTGGTCCCAGCTACTCGGGAGGCTGAAGTGGGAGGATTGTTTGAGCCCAGAAGGCTAAGGCTACAATGCGCTGTGATTGTGCCATTGCACTCCAGCCTGATGAGAGAGCAAGATTCTGTCTCAAAAAACAAACAAACAAAACTATATAGGTATATTGGGAGCATTAAATTCAGGAAATTAGGAGATCATTTCTGTTAGTGTTGGATTATTTTACAGACTTTTTTTACTTGTGACTTTATTAATAAGAATTAGGATAATTTGAATCCAAATGTTGGAATATTATTATCACTTTTTTTCTTTTTTTTTTTTTTTAAATGAAGACTGAAGTTGCTGAAGATCCTCAACAAGTTTCAACTGTTCATCTCCAGCTAGGCTTGCCACTGGTTTTTATTGTTAGCCAACAGGCTACTTATGAAGCTGACAGAAGAACTGCAGAATGGGTTGCTTGGCGTCTTCTGGGAAAAGCAGGAGTTCTGCTCTTGTTAAGGTATCTTAAACATCAAATATTTATTACGTTTAGCAAAACACTAATAGTTTCCATGTTTTAAAATTTGATAATTTAATCACTTATAAGTAAACTCAAATCTTTAATGGATTCCAATATAGTTAGAACTAGTTGCTGTGCTAAAATCTGTACATTCATTTATGGTTGATGAAAACTTAGAACTTAAAACCTTGTTATAAATGAAGATGGAGATTAAGATGGAGACTAGAAAATCTGGTCTATATTTATGTGTAAAATTTTTCAGTCACTAAATTGTAATATTTTTTCATAATTTTTAGTATAAGACTATAGTTATGTTTTCTATTGACGTCCTGGGTGACTATTAGTCTTCACATTAGCAACATAAAACATTTATTTCCATTTTGAAAAAGGGACTCTTTGGAAGTGAACATTCCTCAGCATGCTAATGTGGTCTTCAAAAGAGCAGAAAAGGTTAGTTGTTTTATGTATTGTTCTACAATATCTGTTTATTTAAAGAAAGCTAATATATGTGGTCTTAAAGTAATATATTTTATTATAGAAAAATCTGTAAATTATAAATTGCTCCTATTCAAAGAAAATTGCTGTTAACATTTTGATGCTTTTATCATGTGTCAGTCTGGTTTTTATCCTATGTTCACATATTTATATGTATTTTTTTAAAAAAACAAAATCAGGATTATGCTAGATATCCTGCGTTTTGTTTAAAATAATATTGGGCTGGGCATGGTGGCTCATGCCTGTAATCTAGCACTTTGGGAGGCTGAGGCAGGTGGATCACTTGAGCCCAGGAGTGCAAGACCAGCCTAGGCAACATCGGGAGACCCCATCTCTACAAAAAATTGGCTGAGTATGGTCGTGCATGCCTATAGTCCCAGTTACTCAGGAGGCTGAGGTGGGAGAATCACTTGAGCCCCAGAGGTTGAAACTGCAGTGAGCCGTGATTGTGCCACTGCACATCTACCCTGGGTGACAGAGAGAGAGACCCTGTCTCAAAAAAAATAAACAAGATAAAACAGAATTCAAACCATAGCAGTGATGAAAGACAGAATAGTGATTACTTTTGGGGGATGTTAATGACAGGAAGAGCAAGAAGATGGCCACTGGGTATGCTGATGATGTTGTGTATCTTAATCTGTGTGGTGGTGATACAAATATGTCCACTTTGTAAAAATCCCTCAAACTCTATACTTAAAATTTTTGTTCTTTTCTGTGTTAATGTTATACTTTAATTAAAAGGCTTACTCTTACTACAAAAATTTCTGTGAATCTTTGGAACAAATTAAGTTTAATTTTGATTCCTCTACTTTTTAAGTTTATTATATTTCTGTAGAAATCAAAATTGCTTGTTTTGAATATAATGTTAAAAAATGAAGATATGTGATAGCAAAGAACAAACATACTTAGAGCTCATAGCTTTATTCCAGTATAGAGTTACAGTCAAGAATACTTTGCTAAAATAATCTCTTGGCTTAAAATTTCATATTTTAAAAGCATAACACTTGGGCAATAGTAAAATAAATCTTAAGTAATATTTTTAATATTAAGTAATATTGATCTCAGTAGAATTTGGTATTCTTAAAATAACTGGGAGCACATAGTAATTTAATGTTGTTTATAGCTAAACAGGAAATTGAACTTATTAGTGGAATTAATTTAGATGAATATTGTTTTGAATATTTCCGTGGAATGTTGGAATAATCAATTTTGATTTGCTCTATTTGCAGTAAAATTATATATATTTCCATTTTATGAAGAGGTAGAACTTGCTGTTATATGTGAAATGTTTTACAGACTTCAATATAATGTGGTTGTGACAAGAAGCAAGTGAAGCTTTCAGCACCTTTTTTGCCACCTTTTTCAGTGTAGCCATTGTCTTTATAGAAGGTGTGCTTTGGATGCTTTTCTTTTCATAGTAATTTTGGAGTTACCTTTCCTTTTACGTTTTGCTAAGTTTTAGAATTGAAGTTCAAAGGCTTAGTTTTATTTTAGTGTCAAACAAGTAAAACTTGTGTTTTTTCAGTCTTACACTGTCACCCAGGCTAGAGTGCAGTGGCACAATCTCGCCTCACTGAACCTCCTCCTGGGTTCAGACGATTTTCCTGTTTCAGCCTCCCAAATAGCTGGGATTACAGGCATGTGCCACCACGCCTGGCTAATTTTTGTATTTTTAGTAGAGATGGGGTTTCACCATGTTGGCCAGGCTGGTCTCGAACTCCTGACCTCAGGTGATCCACCCACCTTGACCTCCCAAAGTGCTGGGATTACAGATGTGAGCCACCACACCTGGTCCAAGTAAAACATTTTTATGTCAAAATACTTTGCTATATTCATTTTTAAAAAATTAATGTATTTCTAGGGAGTTCCAGTGGAATTTTTGGTATTACATGATGTTGATTTAATAATATCTCATGTGGAACATAATACGCACATTGAGGAAATACAAGAAGATGAAGATGATGACATGGAAGGTCCAGATATAGGTAATGTGTTATGATTCTCATCCCTTCCTTATCCTGCCTAGCACCCATAAAGTCAGTGAAATTTCTAATGAATTAACTTTCTCGAAGAATGTATTCAGATTAAGACTCTGTAAAGAAACCTGGCGGAATTTATTTTGAATCACATTTTGTCAAGTTGATTTGTTGAAAGGTGTAAGGATGCTATATTTTGTTTAGTGTATTAGTATTTACTGTTACATATCAGGCTTCAAACTTCCCACGTCTGTGCCTTCATCTTTCATATCAGTTCTTTCAGCCATTCTGGACTAGTCCGTGTTTAAAAACTCTACTTAGAAACTACAACATGATAATTCATTGTTACTATTTTTATTAGGAAATGGAGTTCTAATAAATATTGTTATATTTGTACTTGTAAATAAATCCAGTTGTTAATGGTATAAGGAGTAACTTTCAGTAACATTTTAACACTTCTTTTAAACAGTTATTTCAGCTTTTAAAAAAATTTATTGCTTACATTTATGAAGCATTGTATGGTTTTTAAGGCTTTTCCCCACATATGATTTACTTTGATTGTTATGCTCTGAGTTAGCTGATACCACCTTCATTTTGTACGCAATGAGTCTGCATTTCTTGAGTTCAGTGATCCGCCCAAAGTCCCACAAGTGGCAGGTGGTGGGACCTGGGCTAGAACTCAAGCATCCTGAAATAAAATCTTATTTATTAATGACAGTCAAGAATACTTCACTAAAATAATCTAGTGGCCTAAAATTTCATATTTTTAAAGCAACAATTGGGCAATAGTGAAATAATTATTCCTGATACATCTTTCATAACATTAATCCTCTTCTGTAATTATTCATTTACTTTTTTCTCTTCTCCACTAGTCTATAAGTATTTCTAAATCAAGGATTATGTCTTGTTCATTTTTGTATACCATATAGTAAATACTTGAGTGTTTTATATAGTACCATTATAAGCTCCAAGAAGGAAGCAATTTACATATCATTTTCATGAGCTCCATACATTGTGATCAAAATCTATATTATAAATTTAATAAGAGCTTTCACTGTTACAATGACCAGTTTCTTGGTTTGAGTGGAGCTCTGGTTTCTTTTCCGATATGCAGGGGTTAGAATTGCTTGTGTTCCTCTCTGGAGTTCTCAGTGGGCTTGTCATTACATAAGCAGACCTGTGTTCTGGTCTGTTTCCTCGCTTATTCCTGTAATGGTTCCTGTATTTGAACCTTCAGAGTTAGAGGACTTGTCCGCAATCTCAGTTTATTTGATTCCTGTCTTCAGTGGGAGTCGCCTGTTTGAAGATTTCTTTGTGGCCACAGCCCCTATATTGTTTCCTGACTCTATGGCCTTATTTACCCTCTGATGCTGCCTTATCTTTCTGGTTTTTATTTTTATTTTATTCATTTGACCAATAATAATTGTACATATTTGTGAGGTACATAGTAATGTTTCAATACATATAATGTATAATGATCAGGTCAGGATAATTAGCGTATCCATCATTTCAAGCATTTTTCATTTCTTTGTGTTGGAAACGTTCAATAACCTCCAGCCTGTTTCTAGTATTTCTTTTGCAGCTTTGCCTTTTTTATTTTTCATCTTAACTTCCTATTATCAGTAATCCATATTGGCCCAGAATGTTGTATGGTGTTGTGCCCATATATAATTCTTCCCCCTCCCTTTGTATCACTCCCGTTTACAAAGGAAAACTAGATGAGGGTTAGGAAAGAATTTATTACCGTCTTTGAATGTAAATCAGAGACAGGTGTACCCCAGAGAAATCGGCAAAATGGAATCGGAATGAAAAACACTGGTTCCACAAAAGGGCAAAAGAAAAGAAGCCTGTGTTCCAGCCTGGGCAACATGACAAAACCCTATCTCTACAAAAAATACAAAAATTAGCCAAGCATGGTGGTATGTGCCTGTAATCCCAGCTCCTTGGGAGGCTGAGGTGGGAGGATCGCTTGAGCCCAGGAGATGGAGATTGCAGTGAGCTGAGATCGTGCCAGTGCACTCCAACCTGGACAACAGAGTGAGACCCTGTCTCAAAAAAAAAAAAAAAAAAAGACTGAAAATAGTGTGTATATTAGTAATGAATAGATGGAAGGTAGAGCTGAGGAGTGACTAAATTTACAAGTGATGGTAGCTTATTAGAATATAAGAAAAGAGGGAAAGGAGGAAAAAGAAACAGAGAAGACTGACAGGAAAATGAAAATATATGAATAACAAGAAAAAATATGGTAAATAAGAAAATAGGTCTTTGCTAATTTTGGTATTGAGAATGTAATTTTTTAGTGTCATGGAATTTGGTGCTTATAAGTACCTTAAAGTTATATAGTGCAACTCTCATGCTTCACAAGAGTTGAACACTGAGGCCCAGAGAGTTATGTGATTGACTAGAGTCGTACAGTTAGAAAATGGCTGAGGTTGTGTTGAAATCCAGATCTAGAATTTTAATTTATAGTATGGTCATGTGTCTCTTAACAATGAGGATGCTTTCTGAGAAATGCATTATTAGGTGATTTCATTGAGCATACATCATAAAGTTCACTTACACAAACGTACATGGTGTAGCCTATTACACACCTAGGGTGTATGGTCTAGCCTATTGCTCCTAGGCCACAAACCTAGGCATGTTACTGTACTGAATACTGTAGGTACCTGTAACACAGTGGTAGATATTTATGTATCTAAACCTGTGTAAACATAGAAGAGGTACAATAAAAATACGGTGTAAAAGATAAAAAATGGTACATTTGTATAGGGTACATACCATGTATGGAGCTTACAGGACTGGAAGTTGCTCTGGGTAAGTCAGTGAGTGAATGTAAAGGCCTAGAACATTACGTGATTGTAGACTTCATAAATACTGTACACTTAGGCTGTACTAAATTTATGAATTTTTTTCAATAATAAATTTGTTTTAGCTTACTGTAACTTTTTTACTTTATACATTTTTACAATTTTTAAAAACATTTTGACTGTTTTGTAATAACATTTAACTTAAAGCACAAACACATCATACAGCTGTACAAAAATATTTTCTTTTTTTATATCCTTATTCTATAAGCTTTTTTTTCCATTTAAAACTTTTACGTTTTACGTTTTAAACTTTTCTCTAAAAACAAAAACACAAACACACATCAGCCTAGGCTTATACAGGGTCAAGATCATCCATATTACCCGCTTCCACTTCCACATTGTGTCCCTTTGGAAGGTCTTCGGGGACAGTAACAAGCATGGAGCTGTCATTTCCTATGATAATAATGCCTTCTTTTAGAACGCCTCCTGAAGGACCTACCTGAGGCTGTTTTACAGTGAACTTTTTATTTTATAAGTGAAAGGAGTACACTCTAATGATAAGAGTATAGTAAATATATAAACCAATAATCTAGTCCTTTATTATCACTATCAAGTATTATTTACTGTACGTAATTGTATGTGCTATACTTTTTTTTTTTTTTTTTTGAGACAGAGCTTTGCTCTTGTCGCTCAGGCTGGAGTACAGCGGTGCAATCTCGGCTCACTGTAACCTCCACCTCCTGGGTTCAAGTGATTCTTCTGCCTCAGCCTCCCAAGTAGCTGGGATTACAAGCATGTGCCAACATGCCCGGCTGATGTTTTGTATTTTTAGTAGAGACAGAGTTTCACCATGTTGGCCAGGCTGGCCTTGAACTCCTGACCTCAAGTGATCCACCCACCTCGGCCTCCCAAAGTACTGGGATTACAGGTGTGAGCCACCATGCCTGGCCTTATGTGCTATATGACTCACTGTAGGTTTGTTTACACCCGCATCACCACAAACGTGAGTAATGTGTTGTGCTACGATGCTACAGTGGCCACTACATCACCAGATGATAGGAATTTCTCAGCTCCATTATGATCTTAAGGGACTACAGTTGTATATATGGTCCATTGTTGACTGAAATATCATTATGTGGTGTGTGACTGTATTAGAAATTATGTATAAAACAATACTTTAGTTCTATGAATGTATTCTTTCTCCCTTCTTTCTTTTTAGTGTGTTGTTAGAGAGAATTATGAACATACCGTAAAGGAGATAGAATAATAGAACAAATTCTTGTTATCCATTACTTGGCCTCTCATTATCAAACCATGGCTAATCCTGCTCCAGTCACCCCCTACCTCTTACTGTTTTGTAGCAAATCCCAAACATAAGATTTCATCTATAAGTATTTCCCTGGGTTTCAGAAATACAAGATTTTCATTTTTAACATTAACATAATTAATACTATTATTACATCTAAAAAATTAACAATTCTTATTATCATCATATATCCAGTCAGTGTTTGAACTTCCAATTGCACCATGCTCTTACATGCCACTGTGCCTTTGCTTATGCCGTTCTTTGCTCTTTATGCCACCACTGCCTTTCTTCTCTGCCTACCTGAGTTTTCTTTTCCTTTTCATATTCAGCTAGTATCAACTCTTCTAAGAAGCTTTATCCTTTAGTCAAGTTATATGCTCCATCTGTGTTACCATACAATCTCTACAAACTTCCAACAGAATATTTATGAATCCAAATGTATTTTTGAAGATACATGGATGGGTGGATGGATGGATGGATCTATCAGTCTATTGATTGGTCTGTCTAAATTAAGGAAGAGTTTTCACATATTCAGAATCCACTCATAACTTGATGCTTTTTGGATAAAATCCAGACTTCTTGTCTCATGTGACCTCTTATGATCTAGCCACTGCCTAGCCTAGAGTTTTCTCATGCTGTTTCTTCCTTCAGCCCCATCTTGTCTTAGTCAAATTTGCCTTCTCTCAGCCTTGTATGTGCTAAACTCTTGTATATCTCAGAGCTTTTGCATATGTAATTCTCTTTGTCTAAAACATTTTCTTGATTCTCTACCTGGCAGATTTTGGGCTTCCCAATCTAAATAGCCCTGTTATATAATCTCTCAATGTATCGTTTACCTTTCTTCACAAATTGGTCATAATTTATAATTATATGTTTATTCAGTGATCAGTTTATCTGACTTTTCCATAGATAGAAGTTCCATGTGGTCAGGACTATGTCTGTTTTGTTTACCAGTTTTCCTAGTGCCTGTCACAATGCTTGGCATGTAGTAGAGGCAACATAAACAAAACAGCACTATTAATATTCTTTGTAGAACAAGTTTTAATTTTGAAATTGACTAAAACTTTACAACTTCTAGGTCAGGAAGCATCTCAGCGTCAGTTAAGCAACTGGAAAGTTTTTAAAATATCATGCGTCCTAACTATTAAGATAGGATGAATTCAAAAGTTTGTATAAAGTACTGAATTCTTACATGCTTCCTATGAGAAGAGCTTAAATAGTTTTCATTATACATCAATATTTAAATTAATTTCTTTTCCAACATTTCAGATGTTCAGGATGATGAAGTGGCAGAAACTGTTTTCAGAGATAGGAAGAGAAAATTACCTTTGGAACTCACAGTGGAACTAACAGAAGAAACATTTAATGCAACAGTGATGGCTTCTGACAGCATAGTACTCTTCTATGCTGGTTGTGAGTATGACCCTTTAGAGGAGACTATTACATATTAGGACATTTAAAAACACAGATTTAATTTTTGGCATTCCATGTATTGCACGTTGTAAAATGAAATTGCTTTCGTATGTCTCAAGTAGACTGTGTGCGTGGAAGCATTTACTTCTGATTCTGGGATTGTGCAATTTATTTATATCTGATTTACAAATTAAAGGTTAATGATTAAACTAGATGTTCATTAATTTTGAAAAATTGTGACTCACGCTAATGATTTTAACATATTAAGTTATTATAGATTTATAGTGAGTATATTGCTTTTATCTTCAAATCATAGCTATTTAGCTATATTCCTTGCAGTACAAGTGCGGAAAATCAGTTGCTTTTGAAACTCTTAAGTGGTTGGACTATGTTAAGAAATGTATAGTAGAATATTTCTGATTAACAATAATTTTGGGAAACCTCATAAATCTGTATATTTGTTACGTATCAGTGTGGATGCTTTGGAGATACACAGTAATATCTGTTGAATTTTTCATTTTCATGTAGGGCAAGCAGTATCCATGGCATTTTTGCAATCCTATGTTGATGTGGCAGTTAAACTGAAAGGTATTGTATTGTGCTATGCATGCTTATTATTCTGATTCTGAACTGTAGCTATTTGTAAAACTATGTCATGCAAAAAATGTAGAAAACCACATAAAATTTCAGGTTACTATGTTTGTGTCTCCAGGGTTAAGTTAATGAACCAGGAGTTTCAAGAGTACTTAGGAGCATTCACTTTGATTTGTCTTCATAGAACTGTCTTTAGTAGAATGTAGAGAGCCTATGTATTAAGTACTTGTGGCTACACAGTTAATCCAACAATCTTTTTGGTTCAAGTCAGTCATTCAGCAAGCATTTATGAGTGCCTATTCTGTGCCAGTTACTCTAGTTAAATACTGGAGATAAAAATTTGGCAGATTCAAGACCCAGTCTCATGGTCTAATGAGAGATCAAAGATCCCTGTGTTCTTGAAACTGTATAGTTTACTCCTCATGGATGGAATGCTTTTTAATATCCAGGATCTCTTTATGTTAACTATCCTATGAAATGTGATTTAATAGTGGGCAAATAAAGATCCAAGGAATGGACTTTAACTGAAAATATCCGTGCTACCATCTCAGCAAAGACATAGGGAAAAAGAGGGAGGCCTGTTAAAGAGGTAATAATAGATTAGGTGTGCTTAATGTAAGTTCCTTATGGTTAGGTAGTGTGCCTTATATCAGCCTACTGGGCTTGGCATATTGCCTTACATTGCAGAACATTTGGTTTTTAACAGTTGAATAAATGAATAATAGAGTTTCATAAATTTGTTTCATTTAATGGAAACTGGGTACTGATGTACAACTTATTTATACATTGACACTTTTGAAAACTCAAGAAATTGATTCCAGATACTCAAACCTAAGTGTATCATTCCTTTTTTTAAATTATTATTTTTTTATTTGCATAGGTTATTGGGGAACAGGTGGTGTTTGGTTACATGAGTAAGTTCTTTGGTGGTGATTTGTGAGAGATTGGTGCACTCATCACCTGAGCAGTATACACTGTGCTGCACCCAATTTGTGACCTTTTATTCCTTACCCGCTTCCCACCCTTTCCCCTTGAGTCCCCACAGTCCATTTTGTCTTTCTTAGGCCTTTGCATCCTCATAGCTTAGCTCCCAAATATTAGTGAGAACATGTGATGTTTGGTTTTCCATTCCTGAGTTAGAATAATCGTCTCCAGTCTCATCCCAGTTGCTGCAAATGCCGTTAATTCATTCCTTTTTATGGCTGAGTAGTATTCCATTGTATACATATACACCACAGTTTCTTTGTCCACTCATTGATTGATGAGCATTTGGGTTGGTTCCATGTTTGTACAGTTGCAAATTGTGCTGCTATAAATATGTGTGCCAGTATCTTTTTCACATAGTGACTTATTTTCCTCTGGGTAACCAGTAGTGGGATTGCTGGATCAAGTTCCTTTTAGTTCTTTAAGGAATCTCTACACTATTTTCCATAGTGGTTGTATTAGTTTACATTCCCACCAGCAGTGTTGAAGAGTTCCCTGTTCATCACATCCATGCCAACATCTATTTTTAAAAAATTTTTTTGATTATGGCCATTCTTGCAGGAATAAGGTGGTGTTGCGTTGTGGTTTTGAATTGCATTTCCCTGATCCTTGGTGATGTTGAGCATTTTTTCATGTTTATTGGCCATTTGCATATCTTCTTTTGTAACTGTTTCTGTTCATGTCCTTAGCCCACTTTTTGATGGGAGTTTTTTTTTTTTCTTCTTGCTAATTTGTTTGAGTTCATTGTAGATTCTGGATATTAGTTTTTTGTCAGACGTATAGATTGTGAAGTTCTTCTCCCATTCTGTGAGTTGTCTGTTACTCTGCTGACCGTTCCTTTTGCTGTGCAAAAGCTCTTTCATTTAATTAAGTCTCAGCTATTTATCTTTGTTTTTATTGCATTTGTTTTTGGGTCCTTGGTCATGAAATTCTTGTCTAAGCCAACATCTGGAAGGGTTTTTCCAATGTTGTCTTCTTTTTTTAAATAGAATTTTTATAGTTTCAGGTCTTAGATTTAAGTCTTTGATCTATCTTGAGTTGATTTTGTATAAGGTGAGAGGTGAGGATCCTGTTTCTCCTACATGTGGCTTGCCAATTGTCTCAGCACCATTTGTTGAAGAGGGTGTCTTTCCCCACTTTATATTTTTGTTTGCTTTGTTGAAGTTCAGTTGTAAGTATTAGGGTTTATTTCTTAGTTCTCTGTTTTGTTCCATTGGTCTATGTGCCAATTTTTATGCCAGTACCATGCTGTTTTGGTGACTCTGGCCTTATAGTTTGAAACAGGTAATGTGATGCCTCCAGATTTGTTGTTTTTGCTTAGTCTTACTTTGGGTATGTGGGCTCTTTTTTGGTTCCATATGAATTTCAGGATTGTTTTTTCTAGTTCTGTGAAGAATGATGGTGGTATTTTGATGGGAATTGTGTTGAATTTGTAGATTGCTTTTGACAGTATGGTCATTTTCACAATACTGATTCTACCCATCCATGAACATGAGATGTGTTTCCATTTGTTTGTGTCATCTGTGATTTCTTTCAGCAGTGTTTTGTAGTTTTCTCTTTAGAAGTCTTTCATCTCCTTGGTTAGGTATATTCCTAAGTATTTTTTCTTTTTTTTGCAGCTATTGTAAAAGAGGTTGAATTCTAGACTTGATGCTCAGCTTGGTTGCTGTTGGTGTATAGAAGAGCTATTGATTTGTGTACTTTGATTCTGTATCTGGAAACTTTGCTGAATTATTTTATCACTTCTAGGAACTTTCTGGATGAGTCTTTAGGGTTTTCTAGATAAACAGTCATATCATCACCGAACAGCAGCAGTTTGACTACTTCTTCACCAGTCTGGATGCCTTTATTTCTTTCTCTTGTTTGAGTGCTATGGCTAGGACTTCCAGTACTGTGGTGAAGAGGAGTGGTGAGAGTGGGCATCCTTGTCTTGTTCCAGTTCTCAGAGGGAATGCTTTCAATTTTTCCCCATTCAGTATATGTTGGCTGTGGGTTTGTTATAGATGGCTTTTATTACATTGAGGTATGTGTCTCGTATGCCAGTTTTGCTGAGAGTTTTAATCATAGAGGAATGCTGGATTTTATCAAATGCTTTTTCTGCATCTATTGAGATGATCATGTGATTTTTGTTTTTGATTCTGTTTATGTGGTGTATTGCATTTATTGACTTGTGTATTTTAATTATCCCTGCATCCCTGTTATGAAACCCACTTGATCATGGTGGATTATCTTTTTGATATGTTGTTGGATTCAGTTAGCCAGTGCGTTGTTGAGGATTATAGCATCTGTGTTCATCAGGGATATTGGTCTGTAGTTTTCTTTTTTGGTTATGTCTTTTCCTGGTTTCGGTATTAGGGTGATACTGGTGTCATAGAATGATTTCGCGAGGGTTCCCTTTTCCTCTATCTTGTGGAATAGTGTCAGTAGGATTGGTACCAATTCTTCTTTGAATGTCTGGTAGGATTCTGCTGTGAATCTGTCTTGTCCTGGACTCTTTTTGGTTGGTAATTTTGTTACCATTTCAATTTCACTGGTTATTATTGGACTGTTCAGAGTAGCTAATTCTTCCTGATTTAAGCTAGGAAGGTTGTATCTTTCCAGGAATGTATCCATCTCCTCTAGGTTTTCCAGTTTATGCCCATAAAGGTGTTCTGAATTATCTTTTGTATTTCTGTGGTGTCAGTGTGATATCTCCCATTTCATTTCTAATAGAGCTTATTTGGATTTCCTCTTTTCTTTTCTTGGTTAATCCTGCTAATGGTCTATCAGTTTTATTTTTCTTTGCAAAGAACCAGCTTTTTGTTTCATTTATCTTTTGTGTTTTTGTTGTTGTTATTTCAATTTCATTTAGTTCTGCCCTGATCTTGGTTATTTCCTTTCTTCCGCTGGGTTCAGACTTGGTTTGTTCTTGCTTCTCTAATTCCTTGAGGTGTGACCTTAGATTGTCTGTCTGTGCTCTTTCAGACTTTGATGTAAGCAGTTAGGGCTATGAACTTTCCTCTTAGCACTGCCTTTACTATATCCCAGAAGTTTTGATAGGTTGTGTCACTATTGTCATTCAGTTTGAAGAATTTTTAAATTTCCATCATGATTTCATTTTTGACCCAGTGATCATTCAGGAACAAGTTATTTAATTTCCATGTATTTGCATGTTTTTGAAGGTTCCTTCTGGAGTTGATTTCCAGTTTTATTCCACTGTGGTCTGAAAGAGTACTTGATATAATTTCAATTTTCTTGAATTTATTGAGGCTCATTTTGTGGCCTCTATCATATAGTCTATCTTGGAGAAAGTTCCATGCACTGTTGAATAGAAAGTGTATTCTGTGGTTGTTGGGTAGAATGTTCTGTAAATACCTGTTAAGTCCATTTGTACCAGGGTATACTTTAAAGCCATTGTTTCTTTGTTGACCTTCTGTCTTGATGACCTGTCTAGTGCTGTCAGTGGACTATTGTAGTCTCCCACTATTATTATGTTGCTATCTCATTTCATAGGCCTATTAGTAATTGCTTTATAAATTTAGGTGCTCCAATGTTAGGTGCTTATATATTTAGGATTGTGATATTTTCCTGTTGGACAAGGCCTTTTATCATTACATAATGACCCTCTTTGTCTTTTTTATAACTGCTGTTGCTTTAAAGTTTGTTTTGTCTGATATAAGAATAGCTAACCCTGCTCGCTTTTGGTGTCCATTTGCATGGAAGGTCTTTTTCCATCCCTTTACCTTAAGTTTATGTGAGTCTTTATGTGTTAGGTGTGTCTCTTGAAGGTAGCAGATTGTTGGTTGGTGAATTCTTATCCATTCTGCAATTCTGTGTGTTTTAAGTGGAGCTACTTTAGGCCATTTACATTCAATGTTAGTATTGAGATGTGAGATACCATTCCATTCATCATGCTATTTGTTGCCTGTATACCTTTTTTAAAAATTGTGTTTGTTTTGTAGGTCATGTGAGATTTATGCTTTAAAGAGGTTCTTTTTTGATGTGTTTCCAGGGTTTGTTTCAAGATCTAG